GTAGGTAGGCTCTGGTAGGGCACACATCTGTATATTCAGATTGTAACAGTGCAATGTATGCTACCAAGGAAAGCATAAGCACCTCGAGTCGGACCAAGACAATGGCAGCAAGGGTGCTGGAGCCAACCGAGCTTGACAATCCTGGACAAAACACGGCCGGGCTGATGGACCATGCTGCTGCTGCTGGTGCTGTCACTTGAAACCGTACAGATCTATTCATCACCCATGAAACCCCAGCTTTCTCCAGACTGCTAGAACTGCTTCCCGCCCATCCTCACCATCATCAAGCCGTCCATCCTCGCCCATTGACGCGGCACTGGTATTTGATCCACCACACCACACCTCGGCGCCCCGAACCACCCTCCTCCAGCACTTGGACCCTTTTCAGCGGGCGCTGCAACCGCTACCACGTCGAAATTAGCTTAGTCTGTTAAACGCTATTCAACTTGTCTTTGTCCCGCCACGCGCCCGCCCGTTCATTCGGTTCAACCGCCACAGCCAACAGCAAGATGAGATTCGCGGGCATATGACTTGGTACCCCATTACCAAGCAGGCCGAGTTCTATCTGATCTCACCTTGCCCGCCTTGGTACGACATCATCCAGGCAGCTTCTCGGAGCTTTACTGGATGCTCCTACGTATCACATCGCGGCGTTGCCTTGTCATGAGTGGCCTGGCGACTGCTATGTACACGCCCCCTCCCTTGCATCCCCATGTTCGCACTCTCTCCACTTCTGTGACAGGGGGGAGCCTGGAACATGGGCTGCAACTGCCTGCAGAAGGCGGTCCACATGCCAAGGCCCCACCTTGTAAACTACGCCTGCACTTGCCTGATGGGACCCAAATCCTAGTGCGCTTGCGCATTTCATTCTGCTTCGCGAGCAATGATCATGGAAGGAACATGGCGACCGCACTTGGAAACATGGAACTAGAAAAGCTGATATCAACATGTTTGAAGCCAAGGCCTGGATCACGCTCTCGTGCCTCTTTTTTTTTTGGAATGACACCCTTGGGGAACTAGCATACGTAGTTGTAGTTTATCGCATCAAGATCACTCCGTGTGAGCATGGAAGTGAAGTTACAAGTTCAAGTTCTCTGAAAAAGCGATAGAGACACCCGACGGCGCGCCCGGCGGGACCCGGGAACATGAGATTCCAACTAAGCTGACTGAGCGAACCGAACTCGACCGGACTTACGTACATGTTTTCCCCCGACCTTTTTTTATCCTCTTGCCTCTTGTTCCCTTTCGTTCATTCGACCAGGCGAACGAACCCCATACCTATCATCATATCTGGAGCCTGTCCCCCCAACAAGTCAAACCAACCAACCATTTCACACGTCCGGCTACCTACCTGACTCTTGTGCGTCTTTCAGTTTGCAAATCCCATATGCACAACCTAACTTTCTTTCTGCATCACCCAGCGCGCGTGCATTCCAGATCCAAACCAAAGCTTTAGACTCGGCTGTGACCCTTGGTCCCTCCCTTGGTCCCTCCCCCCCCCTCCTCCAGTGCGCGAGTGCTTCCACCCCTCGGCCCCAACCCAACTATATCAAGACACGTCGTTTCGCAGACCCGTTGACGTGGTTGACGTCGCCTGCCCTGCACTCATGTACGCAGCACAGCCAAACGGCGTTGATAGTGCAACGATCAATCCCGCTGCGCTCAACACAGGTATGCCACCATCACTTTTCTTTGCCTGCCCTGGGGTCTTGGAATATTTCCCGAACAGTTACCCCGTGTCGCTCCGTGTCGCTGGTCCCTTGCGTGTGCGCGCCTGCCCCCTGCGACCGGGACTGCGTGATGGGTGCCACGGTGCTTTGCGCTTGCGTCTGCGTGAGCGGTGCGTGTGCGTGAACCATGACGACGGTGTTGGTGCCGGACGAGGCCCGGGCAAGGGTGGATCCAGTCCAATATCAACCCGACTTCAATGCCGACTCTTGGACGGAATCCGGACGGGACATTCACGGGAGCGATATTCTCTCATCATTCCATTCTCCTCGATTTCTCGACGGGATGGCATCGATGCGGTTACAGGTTACAGGTGCTTGCGGGCCTAGAGATGCGCTGCCTTCCTTGGCCTGGGCCGCCTGGCTGGGTCTGCGACAATGATCAAGTCATTGCCCCGCAACCCGCCCGCTCGGCATCCACCAACACCCCCTCCCCGCTCCCCCAGCGCCAGGGCATGGGCGCCCGCGCAACGCAACTCGGACCTCCACCGCGCCGCTGGGATTCGCGGACTGCTCGCGTCTGGGCACTTCATCCCCGTCGCGTCGATAACTTTGCAATCTCGTTTTCTCTTCTTTCATCTTATCCTTGCATGTGAAATACTGATGTGCGTGTCCGACCAGACTTGAACGAGCCACCACGGAATCTCAAACGGGAACGTTCTCCCGACGATTATCAGCAATACTCAGGACCGCCTGGTGATGACGGTATGTTGTGCTTACCATCCTGATCCTGTGTACCTGTCTCGTCTGCAACTCGGTGGTTACATGTTTGGTCGTGCTACGAGGGGCTGCCGTTGAACACGCTGACAACGTTTTGTGAACAGGTGGTGATAAGCAGCCTAGAAAGCGAGGAAGACCGATGAAGTCCAGACCATCTGTTGGGGGTGTCCCCGAGCCCGTTGGCCAGGGCCCCGTTGCGCCGTCTATCCAACAGACACTTCCGCCACAGACACCACAGAGTATAAGTGCTCCTCTCCCTCTCCCGACACAAACACCCACGTATGCCCCCGCGCCTGCGCCCGCCCCCGCAGCCACGCCTCTCCAGGCCTCGCCTCCCAAGACGACCCCAACCAAGACGACCCTGAAAGCCCTGCCGACCGTTCGCGACCACACAACCGACCAGCTTGGCCCTGGCGGAGATGAATACTTGCCAAGGGAGATTGACGAGGCCGGCGAAAAGAAGGTTATGCCAAATGGGCAGCTTACCGGAAATCGTGACTACAGATGCCGAACCTTCTTGGTACCCAACCGAGGTGACAAGCTTTTCATGTTGGCCACCGAATGTGCCCGAGTTCTCGGCTACCGCGACTCATACTTGCTCTTCAACAAGAACAGGTCACTGTACAAGATTATAGCGAATCAGGAAGAAAAGGACGACCTTGTGAACCAGGAGATCTTGCCTTTCTCGTACAGGTCACGCCAGATTGCCATCGTCACGGCCCGCAGCATGTTCCGTCAGTTTGGTAGCAGGGTTATTACCGACGGCCGCCGCGTCAGGGACGATTACTGGGAAACAAAGGCACGGAAACAAGGCTTCACCGAGGCTGATCTGGCCGGAGAGAAAAGACCTGGGGGAACCAAGGCCCGGGAAGCAGCCGCTGAGGCCAACCAGAACTCCATGCTCGGAGGACCTCACGGGGAGATCATCTACAACACGAACCCAGGCCCGTATGGCGCCCCTCAGCCCCTCGTACAACCAGGTATGATTAGACCGCCGCCAGCAACCTCGACCAGAATGCCCGTAATAACACTAGGACCAGATTACAATGATACCAGGAGCCGGGACTACTCGACTATTCTCAAGACTGGCCCGCGACAGGAGATTACTGGTCCGCCGTACCAGGATCGGACCCAGACTACACCCCTGTCCGAATTGCACGCGCAAGCTCACCATGCAGCCGAGTTCAACCGGGCCGTTAACCAGCAACGCGAGATGCGTGGTGAATATCTCCAAAACCTGTGGCGGAGGCCTCACGATCAAGCCACTGCCACGAACCTGAGCCAGCCGGTCGGTTCTGAAGCGTCTGCTGTTCCTACCAGCCGGCCAGCCGCATCATCTCATGCCCCTAGTTCTGGATTACAGCAACCTGCCATCGTGCCAAACCAGAGCCCTCAAATGATGATGACGGCCGCACCGTACTCGCAGCCCATTCACGCACAGGCTTCGGCCAGTCAAGGTACAATGAGAGGTATGGCTCCAGCTCCAGCTCCAGCTCAGAACAGCTCGAAGCCAACAAACTCTTCGTCAGCTCCTAGCGGAAGCATGCCACAACCCGGCCATAGCTACGGTTATACAAACTCACAGATGTGGCCCCCGACGCCCCAAACGCCGCAGCACAGCTACTCAGCCTACACTGCCCAGCCCCAACAGCCCCATTCTCAGCAATCCCCTGCTCCTCAGTTGCGACACTCGGGTTCGGGAAGCCAGGTTCAGCCAAATAACATGTCTTACTCGACTATGCCCAGCATGAACCAAGGCTATGGTGCTCCCTCACAGGGCATGTACTCTGCTGACCAAACTCCGCGCCAATACATGCACCAGAGCGCGCCGTCCCCGGCCGTTTCGCAGCCATGGACCCAGCAACAACAGACTCCTGCTGCGTGGTGGACCAACCAACCACAGTAGACGAAGATGACGCTTTGTTCGGTGCGCGTTTGGTTCGGTGTGGCCAGACATGTTGATACGACGCCATTCTTGACACTCCTGTCTCATCCCAGGAGGGGAAAACGATTGCTGAAAATACACGCCTTCCGCCCGGTCATCCTTCTTCAATTTCCGAGTTTCAAACGTTTCAGAGATACCCCAGTATTCGAATTATTGGAGAGGCGAGCGTGCCTTTTATTGGGCGGGCGTGCAATGGGTTTGCAGCATTCGGTTTTCCGGTATCGGATTATAGAGGAGTACATGGTGGGTGGAGGGCTGGTACCATGTTTGTCAGTTTTCTCTTTTTTTTTCTTTTTCCGGATGATACCTCTTTTGTTGGCGTGCTTGCTCAGCTGGCTCTCCGGGTCCTTACTCTCTTTCTCCCCAACTCGCGAAGGTGCTCAACGGCTGTACACATGAGCTTATTGCCGAGTCGGAAACTCGGTCGTTTGGCAATCTTGTGGACATTATGGCTTTTGGTTATACGATTCCCGGCGATTTCGTATGCTTGGGTTGCTAGGCGGTGGTTCTCAGCACTGCAGTGCTTGGTTCGAGGAGATAGGAGGAAGGAATGGTTTCTTGGTCACATACGAGTGTTATACCCAGTTTTCGCGGTGGCAGAATGTATTTCTTTGCGCTTGGATCTGTCTTTGGCTCTCCTTCTCAGGCTTTTTATGACCCCCCCCCCCCCTTCCTTTTATTTGCTTTCCCGATACGAAGTCTCCTTGGTTTTGTTCGGTCAGCAAGGAATTGTGTGGATTTCGCACCAAGTAGCGGTTTAGGGTACGCTCATCTCAAATTGGATTATCCTTTATCTGGCGACGCTTCAGTTTCCGTCTTCCGTCACTTCCATGTTCTCGCGTCCTCATGTTGTGTTTGGTTATCGATGTACTGGTCTTCTTCAGCCCTTGTTTAGCTCTTACCTCTTCATATCTTTCAACCTGGTGCAGATGTATACTTGTTTTGTGGGAAATATCAACAGATACACCACTTTTCTTAGGAGGTCATCAAGCTAGCTATATCATGTTTCATCTTGGGCACTTTAGCTCGTTTACTTACCTTCGCTTCTGGCACCCATCCTCACAGGATGAGGGGGGGTAGCCGCCTCAATGGCTGTATGTTCTCCCTATGATTTATCCCTGTTTCCGCCCCCGAGTGTGCTATCCGATATCTGGCCGTGAACTGCTTCGAACATGTCAGGTAGTTGAGTATGTTTGAATCACTAGACCGGCTGGGCTCAATGAGCAAGTAACACTCAGTGGAAATTGGACCATCGCTTTATTCCCATTACATCTATCGAGTACACAAGAGCCGTCCACGATGTTTGCAGGCTAACAGTTCGTGAATCAATCGGTTGTTTACTGTCACTGAAAACTGGTATCTGTAATCCTGGCCGATCAGTCACTCCAAGTTAATATCGCCACATTTGCTATACTACTGTTCAGCGGGCATATACTTTTACAAAACATCGCAAATGATCAATTGATATCTACTTTGTCATAGAAAAGGTGTATATAATCAGGACTATATTTGACCTATATTCTGCCTGCCCGCCTGCCTGCCTGTCATCCTTTTGGTTCTTTCTTTCCCACCTTGACGCCAAAACGCCTCTTCACAAGATGTATGTCCAGTTCCGGGGTTCGTTGTTTTGTGTGTGTTTCTGACATACAGAACAACAACAAAGTTACTCATTACGACATTGACCACCGACCGACGCAACCAAAAAAAAAGAAATGCTCAACAACAACAACAACAACAACTGTCAACAGACACGAAAAAAGGGGAATAATCGCTTTACTACTGCATCTCAACATCCGGGGTCGTCGTCTCCTCCTCCTCATCTCCCCAAAGACCCTCCAGCTTGAATTCCTTGGCCCACTCGGTCACGATCACCTTCTGATCCGCTAGGGGCTCATCAGCGGCGGCAGCAGGCTTGCCACTAGCAGGAGCAGTAGCAGTAGCAGTGGCGGTACCAGCTACAGCCAAGACGGGAGCGTCGGTCCAGCCCTGGATACGACCGTCGCGCCAGTCGGTCACGACGGTCATGGCAGCAGCCTGGATGTTGGGGATACCGCCCCTGCCCAGCCTGCCGCGCTTGCGGGCCACCTGGACGAGGAAGTCCATGGTGGGGTCGCCGTTCTTGGGGTTGCGCAGCAAGGGGGGAAGGTCGTACACCTTCATCATCTTGTCCATCAGCTCCGGGGTGGCCGACAGGCGCTTGAGCAGAAGCGTCACGGCGGGGACCGGGTCCTCGATCTGCTTGGGCGGGATGGCGTTGAGGAGCACCAGGTGGGCGTGCGCCTCGGTCTGGTTCTTGGGCGTGAAGGTGGCGTTGCCGGCGGTGGAAGGGAACACGATACCGGGAGAGTCGAGCAGCGTCAGCTTGCTGTCGATCTTGACCTGGCGGATCGAGGTCGTGACGCCGGCCTCGGCGCCGGCAGGGCAGGCGTTGTGCTGGCCGCGGCTGTTGCTGAGGCGGGAGAGGAGCGCGTTGATGACGGAAGACTTGCCCACGTTGGGGTAGCCGATGACGCCGACCTGGATGGAGCGCTTGAGGTTGCGCGAGACGGCATACGACTTGAGCGCACGGAAGAGAGCGGCGCTGGTGCTCTGGACGGTGATGTCGCGGTGCTGGAAGGTGTGGGCGTTGGGAGCAGGGTTGGACGCGCGCAGCGGCAGCGTGGGGAAGTAGCGGCGCAGGTGGGTGAGCCAGCCGCGGAGGACCGGGGGAGGGATCAGATCGACCTTGTTGAGGATGAGGATCAGACGCTTGCCACCGTGGGCGGCAGCCATGACGGCACGCTCAACGTCCCTCGAGCGGGTGCCTTCGGGGTCACGGGCGTCGAGGACGTAAAGGATGACATCAGCCTGCTCGACAACCTGCTTGAAGACCTTGTCGAAGGCCTTGCGCGAGGAGGCGCCGCCGGGAACCTCGATAACGCCGGACTGTGTGGGTTCGCCATCGGCCTCGTCGTCGGACTCATCGTCATCGTCCATCTCGTCGCCGCTCTGGAGCTCGCGGTCGTACTGCTCGGCAGCTTTCCTGGCGCTGGCTACCAGGGCAGCAAGGGGGTTCGACTCGTCGTCAACGTCGCTGCCGTCCTCCTCCATAGCATCGTCATCGTCCATCAGATCATCATCGAACTGCTCGACATGGCCATCGGCGTCGGTCTTGGTGTCCTGGCCGGTCTTGGCCGCCTTGGCCATCTCACGACGCTTCTGCTCCTGTTCCTTTCTCCGGATGCGGTCCTCCTCGATCTGGTTCAACAGCTTCTCCTTGTAGGGGAACAGGTTCGGGATACCGGGGTCCTTCTTGAGCTTGGAGCGCCATTCTGGGTTCTTCTTGGCGAGCTTTCTCGTCTTGCGTTGCTTCGCGGCCGAGGCCTTCTCGATCTTGTGCCTGAGGCGTACGGGGGTACGCTTCGATTTCGGCTCTGTTTTGGGATAAAAGTCAGTCAATGAATTGGATTGTATTTATAAAAGGTTAACTGACTTTTGGGCTTGGTTATCGATGGCATTTTGAAAGATATGCTGCTCCTGGTGTCAAAAAGGAGGTACAGGAGGAGAAAAGAGGATGGGACAGCAAGGTTAAGCAGCAAATCCAGTCCCTACTCTGGGCGGCTGTACTGATTGATGGCCGTCAAAAAATTATAGTGGAGGAACAGTTTGTGCCACTGCTGACCGCCCAGATAAACTCTGATAAGTGCAGGGGTCCGCCGTCAAGCTCCACCAAGATTCCAGAAGTCCCCGCTTCGGATGTGGGGTTACGCGTGCCTGTAAGTTACAGTCGTATTGTATGTTCAAGTTATGTTTCATCAAACGTGAAATGTAAAATACAATGATACAACTGCCCATATTCTCTATCATGAACTATTACTCTCTAAGCAAGTAATTTGCACTGTCTTTCCAAAAAGAGAACTTTAGGTCGGTCCGTCTCAAAAGTCAAACGCTTGTCTGCCATGACGATGCTCAAATCCACCGGACCGTCTCTCAAAATGCAGTTGTCGTCAAGCACTTGTTCATACCACACATGGACGTTGTACGCCTTCTTGAGTGTTTGGATCATCATAGATTCGACAGAGCACCATGCCCGCTCGTGTAGCTGATCATCGCTTAAACTGATAACGGCATTGCACTGTGCAATGATCATGGGCAGAGCAGACACTCCTGACATAGGGTCGTCTTGGTCTACGCAGACAAAGTCCTGAAGCAGCAAATCATGTTAGCATGGAACACAAAGCACAGCACGAAGTTTGGAAGCTAACATACCACCCAGACCCCAAGCCTATCACGCTTTACGTGAGGGTGCATCTTCAAAAACTCTTCCGTGGCCGCAATCATTCGTCGGTATTGGCTATGGTTGCCATCATCCGGTGTCTTTGCGTTAGGCTCCTTGTTAATCCATCGGTAAGAGAAGAATATCAGGTAATCTGCCCAAGTTTTCGAACCATTTCCACTCTCAGGAGTCTTCGAGGCCTTGAACTCCTGGGCCAAATTGTCGCTTGACCGTGGAAATTTGCCAAAGGCCAAAAAGTCCGAGTAGGGCACAAACCTCAAGACATCAAACATAGCTCTCTTATCAGCATCTTCAGCTAAGGACTCTGCATAGACACGTCGGAGTTCCGATATGGAGCTGTCCGGGTCGCCGCCTCCAGCAAGAAGGACAGGTCGCAGTCGCTCTTGAAATAGCTCCCGGTATCCCTTGCGGAGCTTCGACTCCTTGTGTAGCAGACTCGATGTGTTAGAGTCGTCATCCACGCCTCCGGCTTGGCGGCGAAGGCCTTCAAGAACCATGTCTTGCGCCTTAGCATCTCCTGCGAAAGTTGCGTAGTCAAGCGCGCTATAGCCGTGGCCATCAGTGACGCTCATGTCTGCACCAGCATCGATGAGCTCTCGCAGGTACTGGCGATGTTCGTCGGAGGGCTCCTTGCACAAAGCAAGGGCAGGCGTGCATCCTCCGTCGTGAGAGTTGAACTGTTGCAGGGCCGCATCCCGCTGTCCGTCGAGTAGAAGTGCCCGTCCGTAAAAGAACCGGCCCATGGCCACCACATTCACGTCCTCAAATGTTCGAACCAGTGTTAGGGCTTCGAATGCAGCCCGAACCGCCTTTTTCGCGTCTCCTCGTGCTGCGTAGCATAGAGAGAGACGGGAAAGACCGATGGTTTCCCAAGTTATTGCATCCTTTAACCACTGTTCTCTTGTAGCTGCATCCAGGTCTTGCGAATCGATTGTATCCTTGATTTGACGAGACCGTTCAACGCGTTCAAGTAGCTGATTTGTCGCTAGTTCCAGCAACGACTCGTCCTGACGCTGCTGGGACAATTGGTAGTTGACCATGCCGAGATTTCCGATCGACCGGCACGTGAACTGCTCCGCCTGGAATTCCTTTGCCGTGTCGTACTGAACCCGAAAAGCACGCTTTGCATCATCCAGCAGGTCCATGTGCCGATAGATGACACCAAGCTCACCACTGGCTTCGATACGCAGCTCACTTGATGCTGTCATGGCCATTGCTTGCTCGAGAAAGTCTTTGGCCTGCTCGTACTTGCCAAACCGTCTGTATGTACCACCGAGCTTGGTGAAAACGAACTGTTTGTAACGGTCACCCTTCGGGATGGCACTGGAAGCAGCAGCCCCCGATTCGCAGAGAGCAAGCGCACTGGAAAAGTTACGCAACGCCATCTCCAGGTTTCCGCTACGGGTGTATTGTTGCCCTTCTTCCATCAGCCTCTCAAAGGAGCGGACCGCCTCCACCATGCTGGCGAGCGACGAAGGTGGCTGACTTCCAACATCCCGATATTGTTTGTAGGATTCTCCATCCGGTGGTCCAAGTACTGGCGCGTCTTGTATGAATCCTCGACTGGAATCGAAGTAGAAGAGAGTCGCGTGCAATGCGTCTGCTGGCACTTTTGTTCGGTGGAGTACACCGGCTCCGACAGTGTAACTCATATCGCGAGTATGAAGAGCAGTCTCGACCTGCTTGATGTGGACAATCTTGCCGGTATTCTCGACGATGGAGTACGACTGATGTGGCACATAGGCTGTCCCGTGGCTTTTCCCTGTGCCGCTCCAGGCGATCCTGTATTGGGCATATGGCGTGCCCAGCGCGCCTTTGGCTTCTGGGTCTGTAACATCATATTGGTGATCGCGGCCTTCGCCCGCAAGGATCCAGCTTTGAGCAAAAGGCTGGTGTGAATGGATAGCGAAGTCGCGATTTCCTCTGTGACCATCCGGCAGCCAGACGTGCAACCGCCAAAGCTCATCAATCCTATTGTCTTTGATGAGACTGCATAGAGGGACGCTGAGGAAGCCTTGTGCACTACGGGACGCGCCCGGTAGAAGTGGCGCAAGGACTGGGTCGGTAACTGCGTCTCTGACAAGTCCCCATACAAACTCCAGGTCGGCGCCATCAACAGGCTGGCCCTGTCGGGCCTTGTGACGCAGCATTGAGACGCCAAGTGCGAGATGGACCAGTTGCCACGATGCTTGCGACTCGGGTGAGTTGTCTTTGGTTTGAAGAACAACATTATCGAGCCATTCCCTTATCGTGAAAGTGTCCCTCTTCGGCTGGATGGTGAGCCCGGTGTTTGATATGATCGAGCGTGCGTGCTCTGAGATACCTTCAGACACCTTTGTGGCCGTGATGACCCCAGTGATAATCTGGATGAGCGCCGAGCGAGAAACATCCAGGTGTTGAGCATCGTGGCCTTCATTATTAAGCTTGCCTGTAGTCATGGCTGCTAAGAGCGGGGAGATGTCAGCAACGCCATGGGGACAATTTTCTGGGAATCTCACTGTGACTTACTGGGATCAGGCACAATCGACTGAAATCAGCTAGGGTATCAAGAACGTAACTCTGCATAAGATCGGGTATCAGAAGCGGAAAGGAAGATGAAGAGGACGACAACCGGGTATCTTTTCAGCTGTTCATGGGTTTTGATCATGTCAAAGGTGAAAAGTCAAAGTCTGCCCGATGACCAAGGCATAATCCCCTTTTGGTTGTAAGCGGCTTCTGACCGTCCATTTTGTCTGAGATGTTACCAATCGTGCCACACCATAACGGTGCTCAGCCTCGGAGCCTCCAACTAACGAACGAGGCAGGGCAACGGGCTCAATTGGCTACGAGATACGTGACGACCAACGCCCCGGAAAAGCGGTAAGAGGCATAATGGCAAAGCTTAATTGCCACTCTTCTTTGATTTTAAGTTCAGCCTTGGAGATAATCGGCGTTAGCTGCCTGAGGGCTGATGTGATAAAATGTCTTGGTGTGATGAAAGATGGTGTTTACGGGTGAATGCCGACCTTATCACCGGGGGGCCAAGCCTGTTTGGGGTCCCCCGCACAGCGGCCGCAGTCGGGATAACGACTGCCGAATCGGTGCGAACAATGGCGCAGTGGGTTAGGGTTCTAGCCGTACTTGGCTGCCCATGCCGTCCGCCCGCCCCGAGTCATCCACGACGTCTCCCGTACAACCCGGCCCCGTGTCAACTGATCCGATCACCGCAGCCAAGTGCACCGTTGATCTTTTGAATCATTTGAATATTCAAGCTACTAGTCAATCCGTGGGGAACAGTAAGCTCAAAGTACGTTCACACCAGCATGACTAATCAAACAAGTTCAGCGTCATGCTGCCAACTATCGCAACACAAAGCGAAAGACTCATGCAAAAGCATAGTATTAACTGTTGTTCTTGAAACTTAATGCAGGCAAAATGGGAAGCACCCTTATAGCAACATCGGGCGCGGACTTCTCCGCGCCCCCCGTTCAGGTCACATTCGATGGCCTCCTGTTCGACATGGATGGCACCATCATTGACTCTACCGCTGCTGTTGAGAAGCACTGGGAGGCGTAAGTCCAATTTCTTCTAGGTGGACATGGTTTTGATTATTCATGGTCACATTCACAATCTCAATATGGAGATACACTCGAGTGTCTGTCCGGCCTTGGAAGATGCAGATAGCACAAGGCAAGACAGTCAAGAAGGGAACCGGAATACCCTTTACCACAAAGATACCAGGAGTCACCACTTCGTGAAGTTGGTCTCGTGTATACAATTTATGGGACTTGCTGACAGATTTCAACATAAACAGCATCGGTAAGGAGATCGGGCACTCGCCCGAGGTCATCCTCCAGTAAGTCAACACCTCCACCATCACCACCACCAGCATACCTCCCGGCCACTCAACGATTCGACAAGTTTGTCAACTAACTGGTAATTTCTCTATGACTCAGGACCTCCCATGGCAGAAGAACCATTGATATGCTCAAAGAACTTGCCCCGGAAAAGGCAACTTGGGAGTGTAAGTCAATTTGCAGTCCGAGCCGGAGACTGGCCTGCAGTTTGTCAACCAAAAACACACCGCACTAACAACACTGAATCACGCCAGACGTTCAGCACATGGAGGGTCTTCTCCCTAAGAAATATGGCGACGACGCGGTTGAGATCCCCGGTGCCCGCGCCCTTCTTCAGGACTTGATTGATCGAAAGAAGCCGTGGGCCATCGTTACTTCAGGTACCAAGCCGCTTGTTTCTGGGGTAAGTGATTTTGCTTTTGTTATACTCGATTCACTAGTCAGTTACCACTTCACTCGTGCGCTTTGTTGTCAATAGCCCTCTGTTACTCTGTCTAGTTACTTCGCTCCTTCATTAAATTCACTACACCCCTTCTGCAATGGTCCCGTAGTAAGAGGTACCATTACTCCCCCGCATCGGCCCATCAGACTCACGTTTCTAAATTTCTCTTTACACACTCTCCTACACGCACTCGTCTATGGACTCTTCAGCACAATTTTCTACCCGATCTTCTACGTACTATCCTCGACGGGTTTGCGCTTTGTTCTTCTTCACATATCCGTCGTATCAACATCCTGCATTTTTTTCTCTTACATTTTCCCGTACTCTACTCGCTCTCCCATATTCGTTATCATAATCACGGGGTTCAAATTACTTCCTTTCGTGTCTACGCTTCAACCTGCTCCTCCATGCCCACCTACTCACATGTATTGAATCGTTCCCACTCTGGCTTCAGTACGTCGTCCACGCTTTCCACTCCTATCCTGACATCTTCGATTTACTTCTCTTGTGCCACCCTCCTGCTCCGTCGTCTGCCCCCGTCCCTACCTACCTGCTACACGATGATAATCCCTAATCTAAACATCCCAACCACTCCCTCCCTCACTCCCTCCCTCTCCATTAACACCTACCTCATCACCACAACTCTCGCCTCTCCAAGCCACAAGACAAACCTACTAACAAAAAACAGTGGCTAGACGTCCTCTCCCTCCCCCACCCGCAACACCTCATCACCGCCGAATCCGTGCTCAACGGCAAGCCCGATCCCGCCTGCTACCTGCTAGGCCGCGACCGGCTCGAACTCTCTTACCCGGGCAACGCCGAGGTCCTGGTGCTGGAGGACGCACCCGCGGGAATCCGCGCCGGGAAAGCGGCCGGGTGCAAGGTCGTTGGCTTGGTCACCAGTCACACGGTTGAGCAGGTGCTGGAGGCGGGACCGGATTGGGTGGTGAGGGATTTGAGGAGTGTTAGGTTTGTGCCTGTGCCGGAGGAGGGTAGTGAAGAAAGAAAGGTTACTTTGGAGATTAGGGATGCTTTGGTTTTGAAGAATTAGAACTAGACTAGAGTTTGGGAACATGGGTGGTTTTGGGAGGGGTGGTTTTGGGAGGGGGGAAGGGGGGATTGGTGGTGAGATAGATGGATGGGAAGGGTTGATTGTGGTGGATTAGACTAGACTTTGGTGTTGGCATTAGAGAGAGGAGTCGGTGCTGTCGGTGAAGTTGTATAGAGGTTTTTCCTATATTTTTATAGACGGATTGACAATTGGTGAGATTTTTTCCAAGAAAATGTCCTACCGATTTATGATTTGCACGGTCGGTTGTCGAACACTCTCTTGCCCCTTTCACTGTCGTCAAGTGTAGAGGCACCCCACCCCCCAGAGACGAGGTTGAACCTCTCTTTCCTCTCTCTCTCTTCCAGTCTTCCAGCCATATCATCGCTAGTTAACAGCCATATGCACACAATCCTGAATCACCTCTAAGCTCGTCTTCTGTCCAGAAGAAGCGTATTAGACTCCCACCCCGGGACTGACTGGTGTCGTACGAGACAACCCCCAACCAAGCCAAGGCTCCGTCATCAGACATCAGACATCAGACAGCCAAGACAAGATAATCTCAGGAGGAGCCAGACAGGCATACAGCAAAGACATACATAGTACAGATTAGTTAGACACAGGCAGAAGACAGACAGACAGACATACAGACAGACAGACGGATTATTAGACACTAGAACACACAGCTTTCAAGAAATAAGGGTTCGAGACACAACAACTAGAGACGGGAACCAAGACGAACAGGTGTTTGTCCTGCTGCAGCCTGGTTGGTATATCCGCTCCCGAGTCTTTCTTTGTCTTGTCAATTTCAATTGTGCGTTCGCCTCGCCTCACCTGTTTCTCAGTTTCCGACGACACCAGCTTGTCTTAAAGAAGAATGAGAACGAAGTCATCCCAGGTTCTTGGGTTCAGGTTACCTATCTTCCCCTCGAACCGAACTCAGTTTCTCAACCAACGTACCTGTGAAGCTTCACTTTCTCAACCTTCCACCAACCATCCAGCCGGTCCCCAACCGAGCCCTCCCGTCATCTATTGACGGCTTGTGCGCCCGTGTGTCTGTCCACCTCCACCTCTCTCTCTCGGTCCTTGGAAGGTTCGGAGGGGTCGAATTCGTTTCGGCCGAAATTCGTCAGCGAGCATTGAGGGCTGACCCGTTTCTTAGTGCCAGATATCGGTCTTCGGTGAGATTAAAATATCCAGGCACCAAGTCATAACATAACAGCAGCATTTACTCCCCCGTTTTCTCGACATGCCTTGTACTCTTCCATTTCCTTCTTCGTCGCCTTTAGCTTTCTCAGTTTGGTGAGGACTTCAGAATGAGTTTCTCTGTTCCCAACAACAACTTAAGACTCGGAGAAACAACTGTGGTGGCATTCTGTGTCACCACACTGTAATAGCCCAAATCCCATCTCTGGTTTTTTAGGTTGTTTTCTGGCTTTGCTTGCTTGCTTGCTTGCTTGCTTGCTCGCCTAGGTACGAAGATGAATCCAAGACAGAGAGAGAGCAAGACAAGACAAGAAGAACAGACCCCAGCCACGTACGATGCTCATCTGAATCTCCTTTCCTTGGCCCCTGGTCTGGTCTGGTTCGTGCTTTCAATTCCCGACAGAGTGTACTACGCATGAAAGTACATTTTGTAGGGACGAGAGTAAAGTCACTTTTGACTTTCCTTTTTACATCGATGAATCCTCAACCATCGGTATTCCCTGTATTGACTGGTACGTGGTCATGTTTGGAGACGTGTAGATCGGTCCTTGTGCAAAGAAGAGTGGAACTAGGGGTGGCGAATTACAGACCACGTAGGAAGGAGTGGAAAAAGGGACACATAAAAAAGTAAAAGAAACCAAAACAGAAAGAGATTCGGGGATATCCACAACGGCAGTTGATTTCGCCTCCACGAGAGAACGAAGGTTACATTCTCACTTATCACAACAAGTAGAATTTTTCTGTTTGGACCAGCATGTCAGCGAATACACAAAAACACCGCACCGCACCGCACCGCACCGCACCGCACCGCACCGCACCGCACCGCACCGCAAGCTTGCGACACAACGTGTAGTGCAGTGTAATGTAGTGGATAGGGGGAGCTTACGGTATAAGGTTTATCAGGAAATTAAGCATCCGCGGCATGACGATGGTCATGTGTGTTGAACCAAGTTGCCAACAACACCGCGACTCACCCAACCCGCAGACGTAAATCCTTCGAGTTCCAAGGTTGCGCGGTCTACGACTTCTCACTGCTACCGTGTCTCCGTGTCTCTCCGCAAAGTCTTGCTCTCCCAAGATCTCCCCAAGCAAGCGAGAATCGCAGCCGCGATTCGTTTCCGTAGATGCAACTCTAATGCCGCCGCTTTCCTGGCGTCTTATCGGTAGTCAAGGGTTATCGTAATCAAAGGAACTCAATTCCTGCGCAAGATGACGACTGGGTTTCCTCCACTCAATCTCCCGAACGGGGGCGGCCCCGAATGCCCTCACCGCCGGGCCCCGTTCTCCACGACATTCAAGCACCGAGCGGAACTCCGGGGGCCCAACCCGCAAGAAAACGAAAACGGCTCTGGTTCCCACAAAAGCATGTCGTCGTTATCCTGTTTTGAGAGTTCACCCGGTCCCTTTCCTCCGTACTGTGCAAGGCGCCTCGACGTTTACGACGTAGCGTAGTCACTCTGCCGCTTTCTACCAGAGTTCCATTCCAACAAGTGTGACACGATGATAGGTGATGGGTAGACGATCAGCTCTTGGCCTGCTCCTGTCTAACGTTGGTTGAGCTCTTTTTGGCCTGCAGGCCGAGGACGTGAGAGGCAGAGGGGGACAGTGATCATCTACCGGTCTCCATCTACCCAGCCGAAAGCCAACTAGCCCCCCCGCCCTCATGTATGTAGCTAGCCAGGTACACTAGGCAGCCAAGTTGTCAGGCAGTTGAGGAGAGGTGTGTACACAGCACTGTGTGGTCCAAAGTCAGTGTACATAGTACTTCTTCCCATCATCGGTCCATTCATCGCTCACCACCCAGTCTCCAACAAAACTCGTCAATGTCCATACCCCCCCGCCGAGCCCGCGTACCCGCCGCCTCGAAGCAGGGAATGTGGGAAGGGGAAAACTCTCTTACCTGCCATTCGTCAACCGCCTCAAACTCCTTGCTGAAGATGGTGTCATTGGTGACAGTACAGGCATGGCCCAATGCCGCCAACCTTTGTGGCTTTGTGGGGAGCAACATGAGGGGGGTCAGGTCACATCCGGATACTCCCCCAGAGACAGCAGTCAGAGACCGTTTTCTCCCTCCACCCAGTTGCCCGTCTGTTGTCTCTTCTCTCTTTCGTCTCCGCTTTCGATTCTTGGTGCCGAGACATGGGGTGACACAGGTAAGATACTGTGTTGAGACAACGAGTAAGGACCAATCGTGTTCGTAGATGTATGGATATGAAGGCGAGAGGGGGGGTCCATATGGGGTACAGATAGACCTTGATGAGAAGCCAACGAAGGGACAACACCCTGCCTCGTGGCTCAAGTTGGCGAAGGGAAGAGCTTCTCTTTTCGTTACCCTTGCTAGCATATCGTTGTGGCCGTTGAGCTCTGATTGTACGCCACAACCCCCGAATTGAAGAGCAAAGGTTGATCTAAGGAGTCCTTCTTCCTAGGCTGATGCTGATCCCGATATCTCCCAGAGCACGAGGTCTGTTTTTTCAACCGGCTGCGTGAAACGATATCTGTGGGCTTGCTGAAGCCCTATCAGGCTACCCTTCGAGCCCGATTCTGGCCATGTTATCCGCTGGAGAAAAGACGGGGACTAGGAAAGACCTCCGGCCAGAACGCAAATTGAGAATTGCCCCCAAGCACCGTACGCCCGCTAGCCTTCCTTTTTTTTTTCCTGCATTGTCCAATTCGCTGAACAGCGTGCTGTGGATACAGAAAGAGAATCAAAAGGGTGGGAAGAGGGTTGCAGAACAGATGGACACGGATGGTTGGTGAAAAGCTTTGCGGCTTCGGCGTGCTGGTGTTGGTCTTCTAGACTTCCTTAGCTTGGGAAATTAAGTCGTCCTGGTGTACCCGTAGGAGGAGTGGCGGTGGCGACATCATTCGAGCCCGCAACCTAGGCCCATGTACCGGGATTTTCGTTTCACCCGCAACACTGCACCATTTTAAATACCTAAAAGCAGTGAGGCTTTTCTCAACTGTTTTGCGGCTGAGAACCACGCTGCCATCTCGACGGTTCATGTCAAATTTCCGGGGAACTTGTAATTTGAGAATTGCGTTCGCACGATAAATCGGGCTTGCGCGTTGATTTTGTCCCATAGATGGTAAAGATTTGCGTCTGCGGGGGATCGACAGTGAACGACAATCCAGCCAGACGGTAAGCTATAATTCTTTGTTAGCGCGGTTCTTGTAACAGGGGTCTGCAAAACTTCACAGAAAAACAACGGGACAACCACATTCAAAACGGAAGATTGGACCAAGTGTATAAAGCCTCCAAAACGCATCTGGTTGATACCAACTTCTTGCATGAAATGTGGTCGAATGGTGGTTGAGTTGCGAAGAGTGCGTAGTGAAATCTCTGATATACGGGCTGCATTTGTTCCGAAGGAAAGTGCAAGACATTTCGGACCCAGATTGGTGGCTGTTCCTGGAGCAGGCAAACACCCGCCCGAATTCATCATGGACTGACGTATGCCTTCATGTTGTTTTCTTGGACACTGTCGCACTCCCGCCTGTCTCGACGGGGATGAACACAGACTCACTCAATTCCGAAGAACAGGCGGGCGTTGAAGATGAAATGACAACGGACAGCTCCTGCAAGGTCCCGGCCGCTCACACTTGTCGACCTCAAAAGATAGGGGAGTGTACCCTACTATGTATAGACGTTGGCGTAGATTGACATCATATCAGGAACGGATACAGGCGTATTCCCCGAAATAGTCGGCGATTTGCGTAACCGTCAGTGACATCTGCTTCTCTTGAGTAACCAAGCTAGTAACTTCCACAAGCCCCAGAGTGAAGCCCAGATGGATGTAGGTATTTCCATCTCACACGGTGCTAGCA